TAAACTTCATCTTTTCTCCACCTTGGCCCCTTCACCCTCAAGTAAAGAGATGGTAAAATATTTTCTTTTCAATCTCTTTGATGTCCACACTCTGCACAAATCTGGGCAATTATTTAATCTACCTTCTGAAAAGATGAAACACATTTTTACAAATTTCATTTTAAGACATTTATCTAACAAATATCTACTGAGTATCTAAAAAAGTCAAATACTATACAAGGTACTATAAGAGATACAAGGACATTTAAAGTATCATTTCTTTCTTTTTTTATTATGTTAATCAACATATCATTTCTAATTGCAAGAGGTTCATGGTACAGTATAGAAAAGAATAACCTTGAATTTTTAAAAATGTGGGGGGTTTTAAATAAAACGATAATTTTATTAACTACAGAAATTTCTTTTTTTAAATGCAATTAGCCAATATATAGTCCATCATTAGTTTCAGATGTAGAGTTCAATAATTTATCAGTTGCATATAACACCCAGTGCTCATCACATCACGTGCCCTCCCTAATGCCCATCACCCAGTTATCCCATCCCCCCACCCACCTCCCCTCCAGCAACCCTCAGTTTCTTTCCCATAGTTAAGAGTCTCTCATGGTTTTTCTCCCTCTCTGATGACTTCCTATCCAGTTTTCCCTTCCTTCCCCTATGGTCCTCTGCACTGTTTCTTACAGTCGCTGTATGAATGAAACCATATGATAATGGTCTTTCTCTGACTTATTTCGCTTAGCGTAATACCCTCCAGTTCCATCCATGTCCATGTAAATGGTAAGTATCCATCCTTTCTGATGGCTGAGTAATATTCCATTATATATATACACCACATCTTCTTTATCCATTCATCTGTTGAAGGACATCTGGGCTCTCTCCATAGTTTGGCTATTGTGGACATCATTGCTATAAACATCGGAGTGTGTGTGCTCCTTCATATCACTATATTTGTGTCTTTGGGGTAAATACATAGTAGTGCAATTGCTGGATCATAGCTCTATTTTAAACTTTTTGAGGAACAGAAATGTCTTCTAAGAGATATACTCTTAGGTTCTCTCTCTTCTATCCTCTTGGATGCCTGTACCAGGAATCTGAGCACCATTCTGAACTCTTCCTTCTCCTGCTCACCAAGGCAGTTATCCACCATGCCCTACTAATTTTCTCTCTCTGTGTTTCTATTGACACCAGCTTAGTTTAAGGCACCATCATTTCAGTTTATTACCATATGCTTTTTAAAAGTGTATTTTAAAAACTTATTTCGAGTAGTTAATGCACACACTATAAAATTCAAAACGTACATTAATGAATGCGTAAGAAGTCAGTCTCTCTCATACCCTTATTCTCTGGCCACCTGATTCCCCTCTACAAAAGCAACTACAATTCCAATCTCTTACATATGCTTCCAGAGATATTGTATTCATGTGCAAGCATATACATATATGTTTTTTTCACAAGTGACAACATGCTGTTCTGAACCTTGCTTTCACATCTTTCAGTATATGACAAAGAAAATTCTAAATCGGCATAGAGGTCTGCCTCATTCCTTTTTAAGAAATGCATAGAATTCCATTATATGTATATTACCATAAATTATGTAATCAGTTCCCTTTAGATGGAAATTCAGATGGTTTCCAATCTTTTGCTATTATAAGTCAATGCTGCAATAAAGATCTTCATACAGGCATCATTTTGCACATGTGCCAGATAATACTTGGGATAAATTCCTAGAAGTGGAATTTTCAGATCAAAGGAAATATGTATTTCTACTCTTGATAGTTATTGCCAATTTACTCTTCATAGAGATTTCACCTATGTTTATCTTTGTCAACAAAATATGAGACCCTATTTCCCCAAATCTTCAACAACGCAGTGGGTTATACAATCTTATGGGTAGAAATAGCATCTTGGTATAGTTTTAATTGACATTATTCCTATTTTGAATGAGGTTGAACACCTTTTTTATGTTTCAGATGTATCTTAATATGTGTTATTTATGTGTATTTTATATCCATAGACTTTTACATCTTTTGTTCATTTTTCTGTGTGGATTTTTTATTTTGAATTAAACTTTAGTAGTTTGTAGTGGGCAGCCTCCAAGACACCCCAGATGACCTTTACTTCTTGGTATCCACTTTCATTCATAGTCACTTCCTACACTGTACCACATTGGCCTCAGTGATGAACAGTACATGGCGGAAGAGATGGTATGTCATTTTCAAGATTAGCTTGCAAAACACATTTGGCTTCTCTTTTGGGGACTATCTCTTGAGTCATCTGTTCTGGGGCAAAACCAGCTGCAATGTCAGCCAAGCTGCTGATGGAGAAGTCCAGGTGGTGAGGAACCAATGCCTTCAGCAAGTGGCCAGTGAGGAACTGAGGTTTCCTGCCAAGAGTCACATGAACTACCTTCAAAGAGGGCCCTCTAGCCCCAGCTGAGCCTTCAGATGAGACCGCAGTCCCTGCTGACTGCAGTCTTGACTGCAATCTTTTTTTTTTAAAGATTTTATTTATTTGACAGAGAGAGACACAGCAAGAGAGGGAACACAAACAGGGGGAGTGGGAGAGGGAGAAGGAAGCTCCCCGGCTGAGCAGGGAGTCCGATGCGGGGCTCGATCCCAGCACCCTGGGATCATGACCTGAGCTGAAGTCAGCCGCTTAACAACTGAGCCACCCAGGCGCCCCTCTTGACTGCAATCTTATGATGGACTCTGAAAGCCACAACCACCCAGCTAAGCTGCTCCCATATTCCTGAACCTCAGAAACTGAGAGGTAAGAAATGTTTGTTGCTCTAAGCTGATAAACTTGGGGGTAATCTGTTATGCATCAATCAACCATAATATAGAGCTCTACATATATTAACACTATAAGTCCTTTCTCTTGAGTTTGAGCTTCTTTATATGAGTTCAAATACTTTTCCCTATTTGTTGAATGTCTATTTCCTTCTTCCTTATGATTTCTTTCTTTTTTATGTCCTTTATTTCTTGCCATGCAGAACTTTAAATTTTTACATAGTGAAACTTACTAATTTAGAGGATTATTTTTGTACTTAGAAATTATGAAGAAGAACCTATTAAACAGTATTTCAAATTTCATTTTCCTCCATTTCCAATAAAAAAGGGCCAGGCCATTTGAACCAATCCTCCTGTTAAAATCAACTAAAAATAATGGAAAACAATAATTTTCTAATCTCTTTAAAAACATTAAAGAAATAACAAGATAATAAGAAATTACTAGACCAAGGTCTAAGAGACTCCAAGAACCCATAAAGGCAAGAAAAGCAACAAAATTCTTTTGTCCTGAAGACATATGCTGGGGACTTATGTAACTGTTTTAAAGACCTTACAGAGTAAGAAGGATGGACACCAGGTTGAAAGATTAATATTAGACGTCTCTCTTATGTTAACCTAGAATCCCAAAGAAAGAACTCTCAGAATAAAGATAAATCCTAAGTAAAACTACCTGCTTCTCCTCCCTCAAAAAAACCTCCCAAGAAAGAAGTGTCTTAATGTTGAATAGAGCAAAGGAGGGAGGGAAGCACACACATACACACACACATACACACACACACACACTCACACACACACACACTGTCTCTGGGTAGTTCTACCCAGAGATCAGTCCCCTGAGAAATTATAACCTAAATTAAAAACCTAGGAGTGATTCAGAAAACTTTAAGCCATGACTTAATTTGAATTGGTTACAGAGAGGTAGTGTCCCCAAATGTCTGGCAGAAGCAAATGCAAAACTGGAGAAGAGCTCCTTCACCTAAGTCACAGTAACCACCAAAAGTCATGTCTCATAGATAGTGAGCAGTGCAAAGTCATGGTAACCAAGCCACAAGAAAATAAGTTATAAACACCAAGGAAAAAAACCAGCAGAAAAAAAACAAACACTATCTAAGTAGATCCTGAAAGACTTCAGTATCTTGAATAATCAGAGGCAATTTATAACATATATATATATGTTATATAAACATATAGCTATGTTTAAAGAAATTAGAATTAAAAATATCTGCAGTAAACAGGAACTTGAGTGGGGCGGGGAGGGCGGGGAAGAGTGACCTAACAGATTTGAAAAATAACCAAATGGAACATCTAGAAATGAAAAACACAAAAATGCAAATTAAAAACTCAATGGATGAGTTTGAGACTGGAATCAACAAACTACAGAGAACAAGACAGATCGAAAGAAATTATCCCAACTGTAGACACAAATGGGAAACATAAGTGGGTAGTTAAGAGAGATGGAAGGTTGAAAGAGGTTTACCACATTCAGGACCCAGAGAAAATTACATAAAAAACCAACTACCAGAATGAATGAGTGAATTTATCAATGTTAGATGATACAAAGCCAATATATAAAAAGTCATTGTCTTGCTACATATTAATAGCAAATATTTGGAAAATAAGATTTTTAAAAATACCATTTATAATAGTGTAAAAACATAAAAGACTACAGAGGTTTTTGTGTATTAAGGTAGAATGTAAATACAGTGAAATGCACACGTCTTACATGTCCAGTTTGATGAGTTCTGACAAATGCATCCACCTGTGTATTCTATTCCACACCTCCCTTCATCAAGATAGAAAACATTTCCATCACTCCAGAAAGCTCCCTCATGCCTCTTCCCAGTCAATACCTGTCCTACCTCCAACTCCAAGCAACCACTTTTCTGATTCCTTTCACCATAGATTAGTATTATCTATATAGAATTTCATATAAATTACATAGGATGTACTCTTTTGTGTCTGGCTTCCTATCCTTAGCATGGGCATGATGTTCTTGAGGTTTCCATATCTTTGCATCCAGGTTTCATCCTTTTTGTTGCTTTTTATGTGTACAGATATAACACAATCTGGTTTTCCATTTTCCTACTGTTAAGGCATTTGGATCAATTACATTTTGAGCCATTATAAATAAAGTTGCAATGAACAGCCCCCTATACAAGTACTTTTATGGATACATGTTGACCCATTTTCTCTTTTCTCCTAGGAAAGTACTTAAAAGTGGAACTGCTGGATCAAAATGCACTCACCCCACTGTACTGGGATTATTCACATGAATGGCTGCCCCATTGGACTGTAAGCTCTTGAAAGCAGGACCAGGTTTGGTGCATTGGCTCATCTCTGATATGTTGCACAATTAAAGGTACACAGCATTAACTATGTATTAGCATTAACTATGTATTTCTTGAGTTAATATATTGAGGAGAAAGCATAAAAACACAAAATATATAAGCAAACAATCTAGCTTCAATCCAGTTTGTCTTGGTTATGCCAGGGTACATTTCAAGTATATGAACATCTTTTTGGCAATTTTGTAAAATAAACCCCATGAAGAAGGCCCAAGGATTTTTGAATCTCTAATGATAACCAATTTTATTTTAATTTTTTAAGATTTTATTTATTTATTTGACAGAGAGAGAGCACAAGTAGGCAGAGTGGCAGGCAGAGAGAGAGGGAGAAGCAGGCTCCCCGCTGAGCAGGGAGCCTGACTTGAGGTTCGATCCCAGGACCCTGGCATCATCACCTGAGCCAAAGGCAGACACTTAACTGACTGAGCCACACAGGCACCCCTAATGATAATGAATTTTAAATAGTTATTATTTATTGAGCCCTAACAATACAAAAACAATTTACAATGATTATCACATTCATTCCTTGTACTCTGGAAAGTCAGTGCCAGGAACTAAGGTTTAGAGAAGTTAGGTTGTTTGCTTAATGACACACAGCTAAAAAAAAAAATCTGTGGATCTGCCACAAATATGAATGAGTATTACTTTCAATACTTACTTTGAAAAAAAAGCAGTTTCGGTCCAAGTTTTCCTACACAAGAAATAAAAACGATCATAACAAAACCTGCATCACCTGTGTACTATAGGGATCAAATGAGATCACTGATCATGATAATTTATTCTGTAACCAGAAAAGCATGATAGGTAGGATCTCACCTTCATTGTCATCCTCATCATCACCATCATCATTGTTTGACCACCTACTAACTTAGGTATGTGACTGTTAACTTGTAAAAAGGGGATATTAATACCTAACATCATGTTCTGGTGATTCGAAGATACAACGTATACTGTATTGCCCTTGGCTTGTTCACACCATGGTTCTTTTCATTCCTGGCCAACTGGTCACTCCCTGGTAGGTTGGAGAGCTCTTAATCAGAATCTTCCCTTTCTCAGCCATACTGAAGCTTTGCCCAGAGTCACTGATCAGAATGTCCATTCGAAAAATATCTGGTGCCAATCATGTCAGGTTCCAGTAACTCGTCCAAGTATTTGCAAATACCAGCATGCCCTGTTCTGTCATGGAAACTTTCAGGTTTTTAGCTTAAATGCTGCAGCTCTGACTTTTTGGTACTATGAACAAAGTGAACCGTGTGCATAAACTGGCCATCAATTGTTCTAAACATAAAGTGCCTCACTTACAACCATATCCATTTTTATATAAACCAGGAAATATAATTTAAACTTTGTTTAGCTATTTTTAGTTCTCTTTGGAGTCTTGAAACACTGAAATTATATTATCTTCAGTGGAATGCATCCTTTTCATAGGAAATTTGAAAGTTACAAGGCCTCGCTCAATTGCAGGCCATGTTCATAGCTCCTCTGATCTCATAGCAACCAAAAGGGGTTGATGGCCAAGTTGGTTCTGCTGCAGCAATTGGCATACAACCCTATTCCCAGACAAGCCTACACCTGTAAAGAAAGTGACCACATAGACGCCATGGCACTCAAAAGCTGCCAAGTCCCCTGGCCACGCTCGGCCTTCTCCTATGCTGATGGATGAACCATTAATGCCAAGTCAATGTGGAGAACCTAGGTTAACAGGATCCTCCAGGACAGCTGTGACCCTGCCCAGAGCCACGTCTGAGGCAGCCCTCAGCCTGATCCCCTCTACCTTCCCTCCACCCCTGTCCGGCCTGATGCCAGTGAGGTGGGCGGGCCACTTCCCGCCCTTGCTCTGCTCCTCCAGCTCCCATGTGCTCTGCCTCTCCCATTGTCACTGGGCCACTGGCTTTCTCGCACTCTCCCCATTTCTGTTCCAAGTGTTACAGGTAAACCGCTACCCGAGGTTGCTAAATTGGTTCACTTTTACAGCTTTCTCTGTTGAGGTCATGTTGACGGCTTTTTCTCTATTTAGGAACTTAAATGAAGCGCTCAGGTCTGTACGCTGGGAAGCTATTCAGCGCAGCACCACACCACCGCCAACTCCTCCTCTTCCCGCCACCTGCTCTGTGCTCCACAGACAAGACTTTCTCCCTGACCGCTTCCAGCCCCAAGTAGGCCTTCCACTTCACCATTGCTCTCCTGCTGGGAATCACGGCAAACACCTCATTTCCCCTTGCTGCAGACTGGACACAAATATGGTGAGTGGAGAAGGTCGTGGTTGTAGTCTTTTTCCTTAAAATGCAGAGACCCTTCTGCACAAAGGGTCCCCAGACCCCCAGTGGCCATATGTAAATCGATCCAAGGGCCCTGGACTTAGCTAGTCAAAACAGATAAACTTGCTCTCAGGTGCTCTCAAACTTGTTATAGCCTCAAACCCCAATATTTCATCCAAGAGCATGGCGGCAAGGACTGAACATGGTGGGTAGCCCAATCCCAGCCCTTTGCCCAGCCACACCCGAAAGCCCCTGAGAGAACTCTGATGAATGCAGTGGTTGTGTGTGTGTGTGTGTGTTTAAGATTTATTTAGTTCAGAGAGAGAAAGCGGGAGGTGCACAGGGACAGGGAGAGAGAATCTCAAGCAGACTCTGTGCTGAGCATGGAGTTAGATGCGGGGCTTGATCTCACAACCCCAAGATCATGACCTGAGCCGAAATCGAGAGTTGGACGCTTAATCGACTGAGCCGCCCAGGTGCCCCTGCGTGTTTATTCTTTCTCATTTTGTTGGTTTCCCATTCTGTCAGTGGCAGGAATGCAGGGAGTCTGAGAAGATACACACAAGCTTCTGGTTCATTACCGGTGAGGATGTGAACCCTATATGGGAATGTAAACCAATTGGAATATATGTTTCCAAGACTCAAGCCCATTCTGAAGGATGGTCAAGGACACGTCTTCCCTGGAGACCCCCACTGTAGCAGACACCTGTTTCTCCATTTGACCTTCAAGTTTGACTGGAGGCAAGTCCTTTAAACCTAAACCATTCAAGCTCCCAGGAAATGGTCCCTCTCTTAAAGCTTAAATGTTCTCCCTCAGTTTTTTGTTTTTTGTTTTTTGTTTTTTGATAATAGTCCCTTTGTTTTCACAAAGACTTACCTATGAGTCCCATTTATTTATTAGAATAAAGGTACACTTATTTATTGGAATATCAACATGCAGAATGACACCAAGAATTATAGCAGCTCAGAGAAGACCTAAGGTTACACGTGTGAGCCTGAATAAAAGTGAAGGCAGAGAAACAGTTAAAATAACATGTTACATTTATGGTATTTGTCATGGTTTACAAGGTATTTTTACATGTATGATCTATAATAATCCAAGTTCTTGGTGGCAAATAACAGAAGCTAGTTTCTGGCTAGTTGTAGCAGGAATAAATGCATTAGAAGGGCAGCGTACAGTTCACAGAATTTACATGAGCCCCAAAGCATGGAACATAGTCAGGAACTAAGGGGACCTGGTTCCATGTGGCTTAACCAGTCAGATTACGGTCACATCTTGTCTGGAAACTGTGCTAGGCTCTGCTGCCACTTCCTCTGGCCTCAGAGGTAGAGCCCTAATAGTCTCTGAGTCTTTGTGTCCCTCTCTATAGATGCACAGTTCCAGGTGGACACATCTGATTGGCCACACCTGTGCCCTAGCTGTTGAGGGCAGGGGGAGGGAGAGAATAGAGAATCTCCATTTCCTTCACCTCTCACCTCTTGGTGTTCAGTACCGAGTAGCTGTATTAGGTTCTACTGCTGCATAATAAGGACTAGGTTTAAAATGACACTAATTTATTATCTCACAGCTTCCATGGGCCCCAATTCCAGTACAGCCTCTAGCTGGGCTTTCCACTCACGGCGTCACCAAGCTGGAATCAAGGTGTTGACTGGGCTGCTTTCTCACTGGGAAGCTCACCTGGAGAAGAATCCATTTCAAGGTCCCTCAGAGGATGGAAGAATTTTGTATTTGCAGCCGTGTGTCTGAAATCCCTGCTTTGTTGTTAGCTGTCAGCTGGGACCAGGCTCAGCTCCCTGGAGCCACGCTCAAGTCCTTGCCATATCCACAGGCCCACCCCCCCCAATAGACAGCTCACAGTAGGACTGTTGACTTCTTCAAAGCCAGCAGGAGTATCTCTGTGGCTTTATATTCTTCCTTTAGGAAGCCTCTCATTCTCTTTCAAAGGTTCACCTGCTTAGACCAGGCCCACCCCTTTGCTCAGCTACTAGTCAACTGAGTTGTAATCGGCTCATAGCAGTGAAATCCTGTCACAGTCACACATCTTGCCCATACTCAAGGAGTGGAGATTACACAGGGTATATAAACCAGGAGGTGGGAATCTTAAGGCCCATCTTTGAATTCTGCTTATCACACTTACCAGAAAATGACAGGCACTTTCCCATTTTATCCCATTGGAGCAGCAGATCAGGTATACATTTTCCAGCTTTACAAAGGAAAAAAAAAAAGACTCTGAGAAGCCAGAGTGATTTGTTTCTAGCCACAGAGTTAAGAAGTGGTTAATGTCAGAACTTTCGACACTGCTGTTTGCAAAGGTAAATGGAAAAAATAGTAACTAATACAAACGTTCATGAAAATCAATTATTTGACACTTGGTGCTCTAGGTTCTGATAGAAAGTAGAAAGGAGAGTGAAGATGGGAAATTATGACTAACGAGCCCATGGCCTGCTATGGGAGGCCCTTCTTGAGCTAAAGGAAACAATGCCAGCAAAGAACATGAGCTGTTTGTTTGATGTCAGAGAGAATGACATGCATCTAGGACATGATTGCTATATTTAAAGGAAGGAATTAACAGCAAGTTTCAAAGGTGAATATGCAAGGTAGCAAAAATCTCCAGAAGAGACCAAGCAGGAGGACCTAGAGACATTGCCACTGAGACCCTGCAGTTTTCTCTAGCTCAACCCCTCTGAGTGTTCTTTGCTTCCTATTCTCCCCCTCCCAGCTTAGACACCACTCCGTTTCCTAAGGAATCTTTCCTTCAACACGGTTATCAAAGGGAACCCGAGCTTATGTCAAGCTAACAATATTATTTCCTTCATCATCATCCTGAAAGTTTCCCCAAAGAGCTTTTTATATTTTTTTAAGTTTTACTTACTTAAGTCATCTCTACACCCAGTGTAGGGCTTGAACTCACAACCCCGAGATTAAGAGTCACATGTTCTGATTGAGCCAGCCAGGCACCCCTCCCCAAAAAGCTTTTAAAAGTTAGGATATAGAAAGATAAAAGGGGTAAAGATCTCAATGATACAGCTTGATACTCTACAAATAACAAAATTACGTTGTCCAAGAATATCCAAGTAAAAGCTAAATAGGTCTTTGAACCCATGGCTGTGCATGAAAAACAGAAGGGTATAGTAGTGAAAGCGAAGTTTTTAAAAAATATATTCAAATGTGTCTGAACATATAATAATGTCTTCAGTCTCTTCTAGTCACAGGTATGCCACATGAAATGAGGAACAGTAAAGTTACTCGAAAACCTTTGTGATGATCCTGGCCTAGCCACCGTCCAGCTGTGTGACCTTGTAATTTAGCCTCTCTAGGCCTTAATCTTCTCATCTATAGAGATAAAAAGTTAGAAATTTTGATTTCTAAAAACTCTTGTAATTCTTCCATAGGCTAGATAATGTGCAATAGTCAATATCAAGGGAAGAGCATCCTCCTCTTTCATCTTTGATGCAAGGGCTAGCTCCTATTAATCACAGGAGACCATGAACTTTATTGCATTTTGGATTACATTCAAGTAAGAATATTATCCAGCCCTTTCTGTTATTTGGGGACTCTTGCTGTCTGTAGAACTGTTTGTCATAGCTATGTATCTAGCTATTTAGAATTATGCACACACATGCGTGCGCACGCACACACATCAGAAATACAAAGACAGAAGCAGGACCACCAGGTTAACAGGGAAGAGTAGCCAAGTTAGCAGAGGCCTATTAAAGAGGCCAGAGGAAGAAGATAGAAGAATAGAAGAAATAAGAGACCAGCACAACTTTCACAAATTGACATTACCCATATGTATCACCATTAATTATAATAATCACCTCCTTCTACAATAAGTACTCTGCTTGACCCTATGCCCATGTTTTATTTATTTATTTATTAAGCATTTCTTTCTCCTTTATCTTCTCCCTGAGCTGGTTAATTAACTGCAGTGAAAGATAAGAGAGGTCTCCATGCCTGGTCTCTTTGGCCTGTTCTCTCTTCCTACTATCTTACAATGTTCCTAACGCTTTCAAAAAACAATAGTACCTTTAGCATGACCTACAAGATAGCTAGCTCTGTTCTCTTAACCGCTCACTTTCAATTTTTTATTTTTATTTTTTGCAGAAGATCAAGGCACAGGGATACTAGATCAGTATCCAAATGCTGTCTAAAACACAACGAGGATATCTGGGACACATGCCCACTTTATTTTTCCAATCTATGCAAGAGGAATACATATTCTTGCTATGACCTTCTTAAAAGCCAACAATATTCTCTTCCAGAGAGATATAGAATCACATATATTTTAGGAAAAGGAGAAGGCTGTCCACTTTGTTGCCATTTCTGCTTCATACATATTCCTCCAACCAACACAGATGGGACATCCTGTAAAGTTATCATCGAGGTAAATTCCTCACTTAACACATGGTGTCTCAAGTTTGTCACCCACAATTCAGATTTCAATGACTCCCTACCTATCCACTACCTTAACTTACTCTCTTTACACTCAGAAATTGCCTACACATTGCCTCACTCAATGTGCACGGTGCTTTCATTACTCAATCCATCTGAGGTCCAGTTTTTATGAAGCACTCCGTTCTATGTGAAATTCTCCCCTCCTTTGGCTTCTGTGCCTTCTCTCTTTGTGTCCTTCCAACCACTCTGATCATCTCTTTCTGGTCTTCTGTGGGGCTTTCCTCTCTACCTGCCCCTAAAATGTAGGTGTTTACAGCTTTGATGCAAGCTAGCTGTGTCCAAGGACCCAGAGGGGAGTCCCTCAGGACAAGCCAAGAGGGTCCTTGGCTTCATGCAGGATAGAAATCAAGTGCAAGCTGAGAAGAAGTGAGAGTGAGTTCATTAAAGACATAGAGAGAGCATAGATATAGACAAAGCATCCGGGAGACTCAGAAAGGAAAAGACAGAGAATCTCATCTTCACTTGGGGCCTGGGGTTTTTATTGAGGGTTGTGGTTCCGTGCACGTGTGTTCTCAGGCATCCAAGAACAAAGATAGGTTTTTAGGTGTCCTCCATAAGTCACTTATGCCTTGGAGCCAGAGGTCTTAATGAGTCAGTGGTCTTGGAAAATGTTTATGACAACCCCACTCGGTCACTCCTTAGATGTTCTCTGGTATGCTTGAAGACTCCAAAGAAATTATTAACTTCTTGACCTTTGCAAGGAGGACAAACATTATTTGTTCTATAAAGCATCTCTGTAAGGCAGAGATGCAGGTCCTAGCAAGAATAAAAGCAGGAAAAGGAGCAAAAAACAAAAAACAAACAAAAAAACAGTTTCTCATGGGGTGCCTTAAGGTTCCCTGTCTCAGCTTCATCCTATAACCCTTTTCTCTTCTTATTCTTCCCACTTTTCCAGATGACTTCATCCAAATTCATGGTTTCACTTACCACCCACTCAATGACTACTTCTAAATCTATTTCTCCAGCAAAGAGCTCCCTTCTGGAGTCCAAATTTATGTATTCAAATATCTACTAAGAATCTCCATTCAGATGTTTCCCAGATATCACACATTCAACTGTGCTGTCTGAGTGTGCTTGGGCCTGCCATAACAAAACACCATGGGATGAGTGGCTTAAACAACATTAAATTATTTCCCATGGTTCTGGAGGCCAAGATTAGGGGGCCAGATA